GCAATCTAGAAGTGGGTCTGTTAACCAGAATTGTGGGTCTACACCCTTCAGGCTTAAAGAGTGGGTCTGACAACCAGAGTGGTAGATCTGCACTTGAGAAGTGTTGGTCTGGCAGCTGGAATGGTGGGTCTGCAATCTAGAAGTTGGTCTGGCAACCAGAATGGTGGGTGTACGTACACCCTTGAAGAGTGGGTCTGACAACCCGAGTGGTGGGTCTGGACTTGAGAAGAGTGGGTCTGGCAGCTGGAATGGTGGGTCTGCAATCTAGAAGTTGGTCTGGCAACCAGAATGGTGGGTGTACGTACACCCTTGAAGAGTGGGTCTGACAACCCGAGTGGTGGGTCTACACTTGAGAAGAGTTGGTCTGGCGGCTAGAATGGTAGGTCTGCGATCTAAAAGTGGGTCTTGCAGCCAGAATGGTGGATCTGCACTTGAGAAGAGTGGGTCTGTCAGCTGGAATGGTGGGTCTGCAATCTATAAGTGAGTCTCGCAGCTAGAATAGTGGGTCTGAAATCTAGAAGTGGGTCTTGCAACATGAATGTGGGTCTGCACCCTTGAAGAGTGGGTCTGGCAATCAGAATGGTACGTCTACACTCTAGAAGAGTGGGTCTGGCAACCAGAATGGTGGATTTTCGCCCTAGAAGGGTGAGTCTGGAAACCAGAAAGGTGGGTCTACAATCTGGAATAGTGGGTCTGGCAACCAGAATTGCGGGTCTGCATTCTAGAATAGTGGATCTTCACTCTAGAAGAGTGGGCCTGGCAACCAGAATGGTAAGTCTACACTCTATCAACCAGATTTGGGGGTCTATAAACTAGAATATAGGAGATATGGCTACCAGAATTGTGGGTTTGGACAACCCGAATGGTGGGTCTTCACTCTAGAATAATAGGTCTGGTGGGTCTACACTTTAGAAGAGTGGGTCTGGCAACTAGATTGGTGTGTCTGCAATCTATAAGAGTAGGTCTGGAAACCAGAATAGTGGGTCTGCAATCAAGGGAATCAAGATGAGTGAGTCTGGCAATCAGAATGGTGGGTCTGCACCTTAGGGTAGTGGGTCTGGAAACAAGAATGGTGGGTCAGAATTCTTGAATAGTGGGTCTTCACTCCAGCTAAGAGTGGGTCTGGCAACAAGAATGGTGGGTAAGAATTCTAGAATAGTGGGTCTTCACTCTAGAAGAGTCGGTCTGGCAACCAGAATGGTAAGTCTACACTCTGTCAAGTGTCAACCAGAATGGGGGGTCTAAACTAGAATATAGGATATATGGCAACCAGAATTGTGCGTCTGGAGTCTAGAGTCTAGAATAGTGGGTCCGGCAACCTGAAAGGTGGGTCTTCACTCAAGAATAGTGGGTCTGGCAATCGGAATGGTGCGTCTACACTCTAGAAGAGTGGGGCTGGCAACCAGAATGGTAGGTCTTCGCCTTAGAAGAGTGGGTCTGGCAACCAGAATGGTGGGTCTGCATTTTAGAATAGTGGGTCTTGACTCTATACCTACTAGAAGAGTGGGTCTCCTCTCTAGAAGAGTGAATCTAGCAACCAGAATGGTAATTCTTCACTCTGTCAACCAGAATTGGGGGTCTATGAATTAGAATATAGGAGATATGACAACCAGAATTGTGGGTCTGGACTCTAGAATAGTGGGTCTGGCAACCAAAATGTTGAGTCTGCACTCTAATAGAGTGGGTCTGGCAACTAGAATGCAGACACGTAAGCCAAGGGGAAGACCCCCGGAAAAAAATTGAACCCCAAAAAAATAAACCCCCTAGTCCCCATGGTCGCCTGGTAAGTGGGCTGTGTTTATGACTGTTTGATTAAACGACACGACAGGCAATCGACTTTAGCATTTCGTAAATTATTCCCAAATCCCACTATACAATATGTACTTATTCCATTCAATGTGACAAGTACTGAGTTCCCCCCTAGCCCCCAACTTTGTATTATCGCCGTCCTACAAATTTCTTTAATGCCTAATGTCGTCTAAAACAAATAATTTCTAAAAATTTTCTTGGGGGCTGCGCCCCCCCCCAGTCCCCCAACTTTATATTATTGTGATGTCTGATTATTACTGCGCCCCCCCAGCCCACCAACCTTGTATTATTTATATTGTAATGTCTGATTATTGCTGTCCCACAAATGTCGTCTGGAACACCCTATTTCTCAAAAAGTTTCCGAAGGCCAGGGCTGCGCCTGCCTAGCCCTCCAACTTTGTATTATTGTGATGTCTGATTATAATTACTGTCCTACAAATTTCTTTAATGCCAAATGTCGTCTAAAACACATAATTTCTCAAAAATTTTCTGATTGGCTGCGCCCCCCCCCCCCCCCTCCCTAGCCAACCAACTTTATATTATTGTGATGTCTCAGGATTATTACTGCCCTACTAATTTCTTTAATGCCTAATGTCGTCTGAATCACCCTATTTCTCAAAAATTTTCCGGGGGGTGCGCCCCCCTAGCCCACCAACCTTGTATTATTGTAATGTCTGATTATTGCTGTCCTACAAATGTCGTCTGGAACACCCTATTTCTCAAAAATTTTCCGAAGGCCAGGGCTGCGCCCCCCTAGCCCCCCAACTTTGTATTATTGTGATGTCTGATTATTACTGTCCTACAAATTTCTTTAATGCCAAATGTCGTCTAAAACACATAATTTCTCAAAAATTTTCTGGGGGCTGCGCCTTCCCACCTCCCTAACCAACCAAAGGAGCTTCGCCCCGGCTACGTGTCGTGTCGGGCTACGTGCCCAGAATCGAAAAAACTTAATCTTTAAATGAATAACGGAACCTTCATTATGAAGTTACGAGATGATAATATAATTGGGAGGCAAAGTGGGTATTGGGCTTGGGGCTCATAATGCGCAAAATTTGGCCGCTGTCGAGTGGGTCTGCCTAAAATTCACAGATCTAGCTATGGGTCTGACACATTTGTAAAAAAAAAACCTTAACAAGAGGCTGAATAGGAACCACCATAGGTTTACTCTGGATAGATCTTATAGGTTGGGTTATCATACTCGGCAGTACTCCAGCTACAAGCTGAAATTATAATATTTTCAGTACAGTTTGCAGAAGAAGATAAATGCTACATGGTGCATATCATCTAAGTCTAAAAAGCACTATTGTCTTTCTAGTCGTCATCGATGAAGATTTATAAGGAACGTCTAGAATCAATGTTTCCCGCAATCAGAGAACGAATGAGTGTTAAACTTCCAATTAACATTAAATCTTCATGACATTTGGAAAATATTTTCTTACCTGGGGGACGGAGGAGTGAGGTGTAGCGGAGACCATGATAGTTTGTGGAGATTGAGAAGAGGCAGCGGTGTACACTGCAAAGGGTCCTCCAGTCATGGTACCATTACTGAGGAGCTTACCGCTATTACCTGTAACAGTTACCTGTTTATTAATTATTTATTACCTGTAACAGTTACCTATTTATTACCTGGAACAGTTACCTGTTTATTACCTGGAACAGTTACCTGTTTATTACCTTTAACAGTTACCTATTTATTACCTGGAACAGTTACCTGTTTATTACCTGTAACAGTTACCTGTTTATTACCTGGAACAGTTACCTGTTTATTACCTTTAACAGTTACCTATTTATTACCTGGAACAGTTACCTGTTTATTACCTTTAACAGTTACCTATTTATTACCTGGAACAGTTACCTGTTTATTACCTGTAACAGTTACCTGTTTATTACCTGGAACAGTTATTTATTTATTACCTGTAATAGTTACCTGTTTATTACCTGTAACAGTTATTTATTTATTACCTGTAATAGTTACCTGTTTATTACCTGTAACAGTTATTTATTTATTACCTATAAAGCTATAACAGTTACCTATTTATTACCTGGAACATTTACCTGTTTATTACCTTTAACAGTTACCTATTTATTACCTGGAACAGTTACCTGTTTATTACCTGTAACAGTTACCTGTTTATTACCTGGGAAAGTTATTTATTTATTACCTGTAACAGTTACCTGTTTATTACCTTTAACAGTTACCTATTTATTACCTGGAACAGTTACCTGTTTATTACCTGTAACAGTTACCTGTTTATTACCTTTAACAGTTACCTATTTATTACTTGGAACAGTTACCTGTTTATTACCTGTAACAGTTACCTGTTTATTATTTTTTAAGTAAAACTGAAATTATCACCACTGCTAAGTAAGGCATACTGATTTTGAACTTTGTTTATTTTCAATCAGTCATTCTCAAGTAATTTTGAAATCAATTGTGTGTTCTTTCAGTCTTGGTTGCAGGAGGACGGAGTAACCATCCATTCATGCCGATAATTTAGAATCTTCTATAAGTTAATATGTAATACATTTCCACGTTTTCTACAAGACATTCTCCTCATTATCTAATATCTATAACTTGTGGTTCTAAATATTCTTGAAATTGCGCTAGATTGATTTAACTCATAAGATCCACTGGATAAGATTTAATAATTTAATGATTGACCAATTCAATTATCAAATACAAAATAACCAATAATTCAATATATGTTCAGGGTATGAAGTTTAAAGAATGAATGTAAGATTTGAGCCTACCCAGCTGCTTAATGTAGATGATCTGCGTAACTGTGAATTTTGCTCGCAAGCCACATTCTCTGATAAAGTTCATGACGATCCATCTTGTATCCTCGATGACTTGAACCTCGTCAGTAGTTCCAATATTCTCAAAAGTATAAGACTCCGATAAAATCAGATTTTCTAGGACAAAATGTATGTAATCAAAGGACCTGAGGGTCACCAAAACACAGATGTTGAGAGCAAAAAGCACCTCCTGCACAAGTATGGGCCCACGAAAATCTTGAATTTTAAAAAGAATTTCAAATATAATCACACAAAAATATCAAAAGCAATCAAATCATATAATAAAGTGAAATCCATGATGTGATGATATGCACAAAAATGAGAAATGAGAAATACAGACAGCAGGGATTTAAGCTCTTATGAACATAATGTTAGCTTTTAGGTAAACTGCCTCACATCTCTGTCTCAAGGGAATAATCTAGATCATAATCAAAGTCCTCCGGCAGAATTTTATCCCACATGTAGGAGAATACTGGAGAGAGGGGTGGTTAGATTCTGGGTGATTTGTTTGCTGGAGAGAGGGGTGGTTAGATTCTGGGTGTTTTGTTCGCTGGAGAGAGGGGTGGTTAGATTCTGGGTGTTTTGTTTGCTGGAGAGGAGTGGTTAAATTCTGGATGTTTTGTTTGATGGAGAGAGGGGTGGTTAGATTCTGGGTGATTTGTTTGCTGGAGAGGGGTGGTTAGATTCTGGGTGTTTTGTTTGCTGGAGAGAGGGGTGGTTAGATTCTGGGTGTTTTGTTTGCTGGAGAGAAGGGTGGTTAGATTCTGGGTGTTTTGTTTGCTGGAGAGAAGGGTGGTTAGATTCTGGGTGTTTTGTTTGCGCCTCAAGAATAAGGGGCTTTATTAATGTGGTGGTGGTGAGTACTGAGTATTTTTAATGGTAAGTGAGGGAGTTACCTTGTTGCGGTTGCTGTGGTTGTTGAGCTTGAGCAGGGTAGCCCGGTTGTCGACCAGACTGGATAGCACTCATGTAGCTCGCAGCTGACGTCATGAACTGAAATTTATTCTGTTAGTATTTCAGAAGTTTAATGTTAGTGTAAAGGAATATCACCTACGCTGGGGGAAAAATAGTAAATAACCAACATGAACATATAATATAGATTGTCCCCTGAGCCAAAAGTACAAACTCATAATTGTTCTAAACTCTCCAAAAACTAACACTAGGATTCGCAGCAGCAAGACTGGCCATGCTGCTAGGATAGTTACTAGCTCCATAACCAGCAGCAGTAGCCTGTGACGTCATTCCGGGAGCATGTGACGTCATACCGGTAGCATGTGACGTCATACCGCCACCGTGGGCTGCTGAGTGGCCGTTTAGACCTGAACTACCATTCAGTCCACCTGCAAAACATTTTAAATTTGTCGGTTTAAATTTAGAAATCGTTTCAAGACGTTTTGTTTTTTTGGAATAATTGTGATAATTGTGGCTTCACTTTAAATTGACGTTAAATAAAGCCCCAACATCTGACAGGTGATAAATAATTTCCCGGTAAATTAAAATCTTTCTTCGCTGATAAATTAATTAATTACGTGATTAGTTGCACTTGATGTTATACCTGAGTTAGTTACGGAGGCGTACTGTTGGGGGTTGTTTTGGTTCAGACTACTCATCATGTCGGACCCTGAGTAGGAGAACATGGCTAAATAGATAGTAAAGTTACCAGCATAGTTACCATAGCAACATTCAACATTTCAACATTGCAGCATTTCAACATTTTAAATTTCAAACATTTTAAATTTCCAACATTCGTTCAAGAGTTCAACTTTTAACATGTTTAATCAGCAATCAATAATATTTTAAATTTTTACTGTACTTGAATATCGATTAATAATGCTTTGAATAACAGAAAGACGATCGTGAATTTAAATAGGCTGACTTAATTTTAATTTAGTTATTAAATTTAGTTATTATTATTACCCTCATATTTGCAACCATTTCAAGGCCACTCAAGGTTAAGAAATAGCCACATGGACCCCTTATGTTTCGTAAGCTCAATCTTACCACGAGCAAGCTCTAACGCTTTTGCTAAGAACTTTTACTTTAGGACCCATTCCAAATGGAATCATATTCCTCTAGCTATACGTGAGATAGAGACTATTTCTGAGTTCAAAAGCAAGAAAACAACAATTTCAAGAAAACAACAATTTTATTTAGTATCAATTAAAGCAGACAAAAATATATTTCATATATATGTATATAACTAGCACGAACTTTAGATCAGATATCTTAGGGGACTTGGAGTAGCAAGAGATTGACTAGAAGGTATATACCTTTTTACAAAGATACGTCGAGAAGAATCCAGGGTGATACAGGATCGGAGAGTGCAGACCAAAAGTTTACGCACCCACCTTTGCCTCCTGAGTTCTTGGGTGGATAGAAATTTATGCAAACTTGGTCGTTTATACTCCAAGTCCCTTTCTTAAAAGAAGTAGTATTAACTATGTCTAGAGTTAGCTTCGTTCAATAATAACAATATCAATATAATCAATATCAATACCAGATAAACCTACCGAATAAATTATTAAATATCAATTAATTCATTCCGATAAAAAATTTTATAAATTTAGATATTTAGTACAACAAATGGTTAAAAAGCGCCCAAAATCGAATTGAAAGATTTTCTGTCTATAGTACAATCATGATAGTAATAGTAAGTGTGTGCCGCTGCAATTAGATTTGATTACTGCAATTTAAAATTGTTTGGAGTCCAAGTATCTTGTTCATTCATTGTGTAAATTTGTATGTAATTGATCGACTTGAAAGATTTCAATTCAATCAAAAAAATTATTATCGAAACATTAAGAAAATCCAACCAATCTGATAGTTAACATAAAATGGTTAATGTGATTGGGCTATAAATTAAATTAAACTACCGTATACAATTCTCTCGAAATCATAAAATAAGTTGACTCAACAGCACAAAAAATCTGAAAGACAAATACAGCAAAAAAAAGTTCAGTAAAAAACGAAGGGGGGGGGGGGCTCATGTTATTTTTTGTCCGTTTTTGTCCGTTCAATTTTGTCCGTTTTCAGAAAATAGGGTACCGAACGGACAAAAACGGACAAAAACGGACAAAAATTGTAACTTTTGATTTAAATTTTCTCCACAATTTGTAACAGGCTATTTGCAGAAATGGGTTCTCAAACTTTTAATCCTCAATTAGGAACAAAGAATAACATAAAAAGTGATGAAAAGGGAATTTTTTAATGAAAAATATCATGTAACAACTTTTCCATATTATTATTACTGGAGAGTGAAACTCTGTTAAGCCAAAAATTTCTTGAGCACATTTTGAGTCAGACTCAAATACGTTTAAAAACATTTTAGTATAACAATAAATTGTGTAAACAATAACACCAACAATAATTATAAATTGAACAAATTATTGAGAGATGAAAGTGAGGAAGAGGAGGAGGGGGACTGAGGAGGGGGGACTGAGGAGGAGGAGGGGGCTGAGGGGAGAAAGAGGACTGATGAGGAGGAAGAGGAGGAGGAGTAGGAGGAGGAGGAGGAGGAGGAGAAGAAGAAGAAGGACTCAGGAGGAGAAGGACTGAGGACCTGAGGGCTGAGGAGGAGGAGGAGGAGGACTAAGGAGGAGGATGAGGAGGAGGAGGAGGAGGACTAAGGAGAACTGAGGAGGAGGGGGAGGAGGAGGAGGAGTAAAACTGAGGAGGACTAAGGAGGAGGAGTACTGAGGAGGACCGAGGAGGAGGACTGAAGAGGGGGACTGAGGAGGAGGAGGGGAGGCGGAAGAGGACTGAGGAGGATGACTGATGAGGAATGATGAGGAAAAGGAGGTGGATGAGAAGGATGAGGAGGACTAAGGAGAAGGAGGAGAAGAAGGAAGACTGGTAAAGAGGATTGATGAGGAGGAGGTGGAGGACTAATGAGGACTGAGCAGTAGGAGTAGGAGGATGTAACAACTTCTATTAATAGAAATAAATCCTGTCAACAAACAAATTAACAAATTTAATAAGCAATTCAATTAACAAACTTAATTCAGTATGCAAATGTTTCAAAATAAAATTCAATAGATAATAGAGTCAAGAATTAACAACAAACAAGGTGATATAACCTATCACTATCAGTTACCTGCAGCTACTAACGATCGTATTACTACAATCTCTCTAACAGAGTTTGGCTTTATTTCAGCAGAAATTTAAAGATTCTTAAAACGTTCAACTTCTCGACAAACAAATATAGATCTCAGAAAGTTATGCAAAAACGGAAGTCAGTTAAATTGCTGCATGAATAATAAAATAGTTGGTTCTCATCTAAATTCCAGGATCAAAATAAACTCTGAGCGATTTCTTGGTAACACGGTGATCACTATTCACTGTCAGCTGTTTTCTTCTTTTTGAACTTTGATTAAAATAAAAATGAACTCTGCTGATCAACGTTTAACATAAGGGACCATATCATCTGCATCATCATCATCAGGCTCAGATCCTGAATCAGGGTTATACTTAACGGGCTCCTGTTTAGAAATACGTGAAGATTTCTTTGCAGGAAGTGTTTCTTCTGGTTTCTGAATACTTTTATCCTTTTTAGCATATTTGCGTTTGGGCTTTGAATCCTTCATCTCTGATTTGATTGCTTTAAGGTCAAGATTCTTTAGTATCCCATCATTTCTCTTGATGTTGAAGAGTCTCTTGCATTCATAAGGCGCCAGATCAGGTGTTTTTCTGTGTATCTTCATAACATCCTTGAGAAGATCCTCCTCTACACCCAGACTGGTCAACTCCTCTCGGAACTTATTATCTTCCTTTTCTTTTAATGTTAGTCTTTTCTGGGGCTCTGTAAACAACAACAAATCAACTTTTTCATCTTTGTAAAGAACCGGCTCCATTACAGATATTCGTGATGATTTCCTAGGAGGGAGCATCTCCAATGCTGTAGCTGTTTTTATTCTTTTCTTAGGGGAACTCATTACCTTGTTCGTTTTGTATTAATTAATTAATTGAATGGAAATAAGCAGTAACATTATATATAAAATCCTCAAAATCAAATAAAACATATTGAAAGAACAAAGCGTTAGTTAGTGCAAATACTTGAATGCCTGTGTTTTTAAGATTTGACCTAGAACAAGTTTCAGGTCTAATGTCCATAAGATTTAGAGATCATAGCTTCTCTTCGGCTTACCTTGATATCATATTTTCTGCATTCATAGGGCATAAGATCTGAATTTTTGTGATGTATCTTCATAATATCAACCATGATATCAGCATCAACTCCCAGATTCCAGATATTCTCTTCTTGGCTATACCATTCCTGGGAAGCTTCCAATCATCAAGAGGAAGAATCTCTGAAGGGGCACCAAATGTGGCTGTTTTCTATGAATTTCTACAATATCACTCTTATTTAAAACTCTTCATCGTCATATCTCTCATTATTTATTTTAAATGAACCTGCGGTTCTATATAAATAGTTGGGATAATAAGTTAATACCTCTACTGTAGTCAACCCCTCTCGGCAGATAACGTAATATGCAGTGATCGCAGATCGACCGAGGGCAGGATTTGCGACCGAGACCGAGGAAGGCACATTGTAATTTAACCGAAGCCGAGGCAAACCGAGGAATCATTCTTCTGATCGAGGCCGAGGAAAAATCGTCATTCCTCGGTAAACCGAGGCCGAGGATTCGGTCGATCACTGATAATATGTGAACGACCTCTTGGCATGGTGTTAGGGGAATAAATAGTCCTGATGCTACTAAAATCAATTATCAAAATTGTATTAAAACTCTGCAACTGGCATTGAGTATCGAAACGGTTACAATTGAAATAAATTAAAAATTTGTCATGTAGTTAATTTAACTAACATACAGATTACAGAATATGATAGAATATATTACATAAAAGGGTCTGGAATTGAAAAACATGATAGAATCTGGTAAAAATTTATAAGTTAATAAAATACCTTCGATCTTTTATTTGATCAAAAGATGAATTTAAAGTTAAAAAAGAGAGCTAAAAACCCCAAGTTATAATAAGTTATAACACGAGCTCTGGTTTATTTTGTGTGCTCTGTAATGTCAATGCGACTTATAAAATCGTAGCAAATGACTTTCAGGAAATGCCCTCCAAAATTGAGAATATCAATCGTTATGAAAAATATAACAATATCCGCTCCCATTACCAGTACCACAAACAAGAGCGTTCTGTGAATGATGAAACTGTACAAGCGACTGAATTGAGCCAATATTCTCACTGGAGAGAGTGCACTCCATTTTTCCTTGCATATTATAGATTTCAACACGACGCGGCTGAGCCACGGAGCCAATAACAAACAGTTCATCACTTGATGGATGCCATCTCGCTTGGAACTTGGTGAGCCAGCTCCAGCGACCTGTGTTATTACAATGAGAGAATTTCTTAACTTCTGATAATTTAGCCTTATCGCTAAAGTCTAGTATGCACACTTTATCGTCATAGCCAACTGACACAATTCTTTTACCCCTGATAGGATCAAAAATAGCACTGCTCACTGTTTTAGCATGACTTGTGTTCATATCTACTGGATGTTTGGTATTTCTATGGTCCCAGGCTGCAATTGTTGCATTGTTTGAGGTGGATAAAAAGTAGTTTGTGTCATATTTGCTATGATCCAGTGCCCACAATGACCCATATTTACTGAAGTCCGGTTTAGCAGGATACTCACAAACCTTAATGTTCTCTCTCACGTCCACCTTAAAAACCTGTCCATTTGTTCCAGCAACCAACACCTCATTTTCGTTATAAACATTTAACGACCTGAAGCACAACTCTGGGTCTGAATACAGCTGGTCGTACTGTAGTGTTTCAAAATCGAACATCCGAATGGAAGAATCATACGAGGATGTAAATAACTTGTTCCAAGAAAACTGGCAACCTCCAACTAAGTTAGTGTGAGGTTCTAGTCGAATTGTAACCTTCTTTTCTCCAGGCACAAACAAACCTACCTCACCTTGTTTACTGCCACCTGCCACTATCAGTTTATGTCCAGGATGAATTGCCATTGAGGATAGCCGAACTTTACACAATTTTGCCATATGACTTTGGTCGAGGTGTAGATTTCTGATGTCTTCTAAAATAGTGGAGTCTTCAGATTTGAGTTTTGGAGGGGTTACGAGGAGATCTTTGTCTACTGTTTTCTTTAGCACATCTAAGATTGGACCAGCGGAGTCTGATTTGATGTCAACAATATCGTTAAATGCAAGCTTAGGCCTAGATGGGGCCCTCGGTCTTTCAGATCTTTGAAACCGCACGCGCAGAGGTACCAGGTACTCCGAGGTATTATAGTGAATTGGCTTAATTCCAGCAATTCTTGCAGATTTCCTGGCTGGTTCCAGGGGAGTTGTGGATTTTGGCTTTGGTGTCCAAGTCTTCCGTTTCTGTGATTGAGAGGTTTTGGATCTCATTTCAAGTTTAATATCCATAAGATTTAGAGATCGTAGCTTCTCTTCGTTTTTCTTGATGTTATACTGCCTTTTGCATTCATAGGGCACAAGATTTGGATTTATGTTATGTATGTCCATAATATCATCCATGATATCGGCGTCAACTCCCAGATCCTCCAGATCTTTTCTGAACTGAACATCTTTCTTCGTGGCCATTCCTGTGAAGCATCCAGGATTAGAATTTATAATAATTTATAATAATATTAGTTTCACATAATCTTATTGACTGGCGACTGTTTTTATATTTTTTTGATAATAAACTCATAATCAATGATCATAATTACTATTGATATCGAAACCAAAAACAATAAAACAAAAAATAACTCAAATTCTAAATTCTAGGCTCTGGGAAGCTTCCAATCATCAAGAGGAAGAATCTCTGAAAGGGCACCAAATGTGGCTGTTTTCTATGAATTTCTACAATATCACTCTTATTTAAAACTCTTCATCGTCATATTTCTCATTATTTATTTTAAATGAACCTGCGGTTCAATATAAATAGTTGGGATAATAAGTTAATACCTCAGCTCTACTTATACTGTAGATCAGCCATTTTTCATGCTCAATCAGGGCCAGGGGTAGTTCACATGTTTGTTATTTAATCACTTTTTAACCCCCCCCCCCCCCCCCCCCCTCCCAGAACCGAATTAAGCCGGATATCCGATCGGTTTATAAATTGTATCACTATCAGAGTGAAATTGAGTGGAGATTGAATATCAAAATTGCCGAATTGATATTGTTCTAGAGGATTAAGATTAAAATGTTGATCACACAATCAACAGCCCATCTGTCATCATTTGAAAACCCCTCTCGGCAGATAGCGTAATATGCAGTGATCGACCGAGGGCAGGATTTGCGACCGAGACCGAGGAAGGCATATTGTAATTTAACAGAAGCCGAGGCAAACCGAGGAATCATTCTTCTGACCGAGGCCGAGGAAAAATCGTCATTCCTCGATAAAACCGAGGCCGAGGACTCGGTCGATCACTGGTAATATGTGAACGACCTCTTGGTGTTAGGGGAATAAATAGTCCTGCTGCTACTAAAATCAATTATCAAAATTGTATTAAAACTCTGCAACTGGCATTGAGTATCGAAAAGGTTACAATTGAAATAAATTACAAATTTGTCATGTAGTTAATTTAACTAACATACAGATTACAAAATATGATAGAATATACAGGGTGGCCCATAAGTGACTACCCACACGCAACCTCTTAATAACTCACGTAATTCGTCTCCAAATTGCACCAAAATTTCAGAGATTATAGATATGGGTCAAACTTAGATTTCCTGAAAGTTTCGTAAGCCACGCCCAATTACAGTGGGCGTGGCGTGACACTCCCTCTTTTTCACTATTGTCTTCATAAAATGAGAACGCTTTAAGCTAAGAACTCAACATTTTTTGCACACATTTGGCTTGATAATTGAAAACTTTTCCAAAAGTTTCAAGTTCATTGGTTAAAATATGGCTGAGTTATGACCATTTTAAAATCCATCGGATATGTGATCCGAGCACTCAGTCAGTGATATTTACACTCAATTAGTGATCTCGTCACCCAATCTGATCAAGAGTAAGGCGTTAGCGTGTATTAATGAGGTTCATTAGGCTTTGATTGGATACCGATGATGACTTTGCTAGAAAGGAAAACACAAATTTTTAGGATAAATCAATAAATGAAATCAACCTCAAAGTAGGGATCCACATTCTGCTTCGACAGGAATGTGTTGGCGAAATCTATCCTCGATTGGAAATCACGGTCCAAAAGTTTGTGTTTCTTTGTGATTCGGTAGGCCCGGTTAGAAAGGTCTTGCTTTAGGATTCGCTGAAGGGTTGTTCTGCTGATGTCTAAGGCAGGAGCTCGTTTCCGGGTGCCAATCTTAGGTGTGTCCATCACGTCACCAACAACCATCGTGATGTTTTCTACAGTCCTCGAAGTTCGTCTTCTGCCGACTCTTCGCCGATCGTGTGCAGAAAACGTAAACTTGATCTTGTGATGAATGTCAAAGCAGCTTTTCCGGCAAGGGGGTGATCGGTTGAATTTCATCTGAAATTGTCGTTTAATCTGAGGGTAGAACACCCCATTTTCTTTCTTCAGGTAGACGAACAATCGTTTTTTCTGCAGTAAAGGGAGGATAGTGAACCATTTTCGATGATTCAATGGATGGTTCATTCCTTTTTATTGATTGTAAGGAACCTGTGACTAGCAGGGCTAACAAGCCCTGAAATGGTGACACCACCATAAATTCGTGTGATAGCGTTTTAGGTGCTGTCAGCTGTATAAGTGTATAGCCCGGCCCATAAGCAGGCTGCAACCAATCAAGCGGTGCATGTGAGCCAAACAGGCCATTAACCAAGTGACGAGATCACTGACTGAGTGCTCGGATCACGTATCCGATGAGTTTTGAAATGGTCATAACTTAGCCATATTTTAACCAATGAACTTGAAACTTTGGGAAAAGTTTTCAATTATCAAGCCAAATGTGTGCAAAAAAGTTTGAGTTCTTAGCTTAAAGCGTTCTCATTTTATGAAGACAATAGTGAAAAAGAGGGAGTGTCACGCCACGCCCACTGTAATTGGGCGTGGCTTACGAAACTTTCAGGAAATCTAAGTTTGACCCATATCTATAATCTCTGAAATTTTGGTGCAATTTGGAGACAAATTACGTGAGTTATTAAGAGGTTGCGTGTGGGTAGTCACTTATGGGCCACCCTGTATATTACATAAAAGGGTCAGGAATTGAAAAACATGATAGAATCTGGTAAAAATTTATAAGTTAATAAAATACCTTCGATCTTTTATTTGATCAAAAGATGAATTTAAAGTTTAAAAAGAGAGTTAAAAACCTTCACATTAGCAGGGTCATTGAACAAAACAAACAAAAACCGTTAAAATTGAAGAAATTAATTAGTTTGTTATCAAGTTATAATAAGTTATAACACGAGCTCTGGTTTATTTTGTGTGCTCTGTAATGTCAATGCGACTTATAAAATCGTAGCAAATGACTTTTAGGAAATGCCCTCCAAAAAATGAGAATATCAATCGTTATGAAAAATATAACAATATCCGCTCCCATTACCACAAACAAGAGCGTTCTGTTAATGATGAAACTGTACAAGCGACTGAATTGAGCCAATATTCTCACTGGAGAGAGTGCACTCCATTTTTCCTTGCATATTATAGATTTCAACACGACGCGGCTGAGCCACGGAGCCAATAACAAACAGTTCATCACTTGATGGATGCCATCTCGCTTGGAACTTGGTGAGCCAGCAACCTGTGTTATTACAATGAGAGAATTTCTTAACTTCTGATAATTTAGCCTTATTGCTAAAGTCTAGTATGCACACTTTATCGTCATAGCCAACTGACACAATTCTTTTACCCCTGATAGGATCAAAAATAGCACTGCTCACTGTTTTAGCATGACTTGTGTTCATATCTACTGGATGTTTGGTATTTCTATGGTCCCAGGCTGGGACCAATAAATTGATTATTTGTTTAATTGAATTGTTGCATTGTTTGAGGTGGATAAAAAGTAGTTTGTGTCATATTTGCTATGATCCAGTGCCCACCACCCCTGTAGATTTCGTCGATTTCAGGTGCGGACAGGACCATAAAAATTAAAAGCAAACATAAATTTTTTCCCCTAAAATCGAGCGCTTTCTGCGCAAAAAAGTGACCTCCACAGAAAAAATTAAACATGGCTTCAAATCCAAATTTGAACCAGAGATTTTTCACTTCCTCTCGATAAACTCAATTTTCAACCCAAAAAAAAGTCTCAAAGGGGGAAATTACTCAGGTCAGGATTGTAGGCAATGATTATGCCAAACCATACATTTTTGTAAATTCATTAAACTTTCAATTTAGCCTAAAAGACCCTATTTTGCAAAATTTTTCCGGGGGCTGCGCCCCCAGACCCCTGCCACAGCTTGCAGCTTCGCTCACCGACAGCCCCCCCCCCCCCCCCCCCCCCCCCCCCCCAAAGAAAAATCCTGACTACGTGCCTGAGCAAAATATAGGTTTTGGGCTTTTCAGATGATTCGGCTCCTCAACAGATACCGACGTACATAACGGTCAATATGTAGTTTAGGTTTACCTGGCCCGTAGGTTACGAATGTGCCCGAGGAGAAAAAAAAGCAAACTTAAGAAGATTTCTCGGGAACATAAAAGTTCACCTCAAAACGAAATCTGCACCTATGCCAGGGGCTTCAGTTGAAAGATTGTTGCCTTGTTCAGGCTCTGTATTCACATCCAATAACTTATCTGGAGTTGTATTGGATATACGGTGAGACTGCATATGGACCGTTAGAGTCCACGGATTTTGGGCATCATAAGAGCAGATCTTACAAGACAGCAACTTTGAGGTGGAACCAGCACATGTCTTTAGTCTTGTTGTGTCTCTCTAGATAACGTTCCTGTGTTGTAGAATAATTACAATTAGAGCAGTTTAATCTCCCAGATACGCCATGTTTTCTATTTACTCTCTGTGGCACTGCATTTTCGTTCCCAACTTGATCTTCTTCATTATCACTCGTGTCTGGTGACTGTGGAGCAGAGTTTGATTTGCCCAGTCTCATTTTAAATATATTGGGTTTGCGAGGCAGAGGTCGACTGGTTTTTTCCAGTGTGAGCGGCGACTTCATTTGTGGAGTTGAGCTAGCTTGTAGCTGGTACAGATACTGTATTGGCAGGTGTTGTTTCAGCAGGTTGTGCTATTTTATCCTTAAGGCAATAGTTAACCTGATGAGATGCTAAGTACCTTGCCTGGGTTGTTAGGGTTAGGGTTAGGGTTAGGGTTAGGGTTAGGGTTAGGGTTAGGGTTAGGGTTAGGGTTAGGGTTAGGGTTAGGGTTAGGGTTAGGGTTAGGGTTAGGGTTAGGGTTAGGGTTAGGGTTAGGGTTAGGGTTAGGGTTAGGGTTAGGGTTAGGGTTAGGGTTAGGGTTAGGGTTAGGTTAGGTTAAAGGGGTTTTTAGGGTTGGGTTTGGGTTAGGTTAAATGAAGAGCCTGTTAATACTTATTTCAAAAGTACGACATCAACAATTCAAGTACATTTTGGTGATGACCTGAACAACCTGGTGGAGACCCTTGATAGTTCTTTTTTCATCATAGGACACCACCTACACAGGGTTTTTTATTCTTCTAAGTGGACCGTTCGGACAAAGACCATTAGGACAAAGACCTTTTTTTTTGGGCGGTTTCAAGGACAGAGTTCAGGAAACGTGTATCAACAAGCTCATTTAGATCCAGACAAGGAGCACAAGCCCAACAATCAGGACCCTTAACCGTTGTCATATTTGTAAGGAAACAGACCATTTTGATGAGAGACTGTAAGTACAAACACATTTGGAGAGAAGAAGCTTACATTCTTTTGAGTCGGACTTTAAACTAAAAGGACGAAGACATGTGTATGATGGGAGAATCGACAAATAGGCACTTTTAGATCAGGGTGCTAGTTTCCACAGTGTGTGGAAGAAAATGGCTGACAGCCTTCGAGGAATCTCTGACATCAGCTGAACAGAAAGTGGTCACGTGACTCCTTGTGAGAAGAATTTTTGTTTCGGGGATGGAGAGTGCAGTTACTGCCAGCTACAAAAAGCAACTCCCAGTAACAATATGTGGTCAGAAAGTAAACTTTAAAAGGGTTTATTGTGAAAATGATATTCTCAGTTCAATGTCTAGCAGAGTTCCATGAAAAAGATGAAGATGAAGTTCGATACTGAAACTGACAAAGTTTATGGCTATCGGAGGAGAAGAGAATCTAGTGGATCACTAAGTCAGGAACATGATGATACCCATAGGACGATGTGAAAGTTCTATCAGCAAAAACAGATTCTGAAGAAAACTAATCATGCAACAGTAAATTAAGGTCCGTCTGTTTTAGAGGGAGAAGATTTACTTCCCCATGGTCACTAAGTGACGATGAAAGTGATCAAGAGGAGGAGTTAGAAACATTCTGTGGCAGCTGACAATGAGAGTGTGCAAGACAATGAGCCAGAAATTGAGCCAGGTTAGTGAGCTAGAGGGACCTTGAGTTGTGAGCTCAGTTTAGGTAATGTGGGATCAAGAAGTGAGCTCCAGAAAGATGAGCATGATATTGAGACAGAAATTGAGCCTGATGACATGGAACTGTAAGTTCATTTTCAGGGAGTGTGGATTGTCAGTCTGTAGTGAATCTGTCGGATTGGGAAGTGTGTGTCAAACCGAAACAGGCGTGGGTGTAAGAAGAATGACATTATCAGGTTCAGATCCTCGGAGAGTGATGATTGGAATAATGCCTTGGTGATAGGTTGAGCCGGGAAACCTACAGGGAAGAACAAAAATCTCTTACAATGTACGACTGGAAGAGTCAAACGGTGAACCGTATCAGTGAGTGGATAACTCTGTAACAAGTGCAGAGGTTAAAGATTGTTCAGGGGGATGTCTCACGAGAGGGTGCAGTTTTCTCAAGCTCGCTTAAGTCATAGTTCAAGGATACTTGTGAATTATGTCAGAGAGAGAGTATTATACTGTTTTGGTCTTTATGTTGTAGAAAGAGATTGATTATTGTTGCTCAAATTATTTGTTGTTGAAATGTACAATTTGGTTAAACAATAATTTTTAACGTCTTTTGTTAATAAACTTTTAACTTTAAATGTGTGTATATTTTAGTATTGTTAGAATTACCAACTAGTAACCGAGTCATTTTTTACATTTTTAAACTTTCAGGAACTTTTATCATGCTCGTGGTGTTTGTATTAACATATCTTTTAACAATCTTTTAAACATTTGTAACTCTTTTACACGTATATTAATTTTGAGTTTTTATGTTTAGAGAAGTTTCTCGAACAGGAAGTTTTGGATGATTTTTTGACAATTTTTTTCTTAGTTCATATTTTTACTGAGAATGTAGTAAGTTGTGAATGTTTGATGAAAGTTAGTGTGAATACACATTTTTAGGAACCTAGTCTATGTTTCGTCATTAAGTGCGGGAAGATGATCTGTGTTCTGTAAACTCCGGTATTTCAGGATTGCGACCAAACACTAGTTGATGTGGACTAAAACCATAAACATTAGCTAGTGAGTTCTTAGCATTAATCGCCCACGAGATAGCGATGTCTATGTTACAGTTAGTGTCATTGAGAACTGCCTCTATCATTTCTGACAACAACCGTTGTGTCTTTCTACCGTACCATTGCAGAAAGGAGACTCCGCTGGGGTAGTTCTAACCTTGATATTCAATACAGCACACATTTCCAGAAACTTTTCATTATTGAACTCACCACCATTATCTGACAAAATGAGTCCAGGTCTTCCGAAAATAGCAATCCACTTGTCAAATAACTTAGTCATTATTTCATCAGCTTCCTTACTCTTTATGGCTGCAGCCGCAGCATAGCGAGTAACAGGATCTATTGTGTGCAAGATCCACTGTCCACCGTTGAGCATCTTCAAATCAATAGCTATGACGTCATTGAACTTTTGTCCCATTGGTAGGGCTACTTTGCGATGTGGCTTTTCTTTGGATTTATGTTGTTTACAGAAATCACACGAACCTTCCACTTTTCTGAGTGCATTCAGTATCTCCTTCTCATTCGGAAGCTGCATGTCTTTACAAACTGAATGATCTTTGACGTAGAACCATGGGCGAAATATTATGCAGATGTTCAGCACACTTCACTGAGTCGGTACTGACATGGAATGTGAGGTGCTGCTCTGTAGTGTCCAACAAATCTGTTTGGCTGATAGAACTTTCACATCGTCCTATGGGTATCATCATGTGTCCTGACTTGCTGATCACTAGATTCTCCTCTCCTCCAAGGGCATACACTTTGTCAGTTTCATTATCGATCTTCATCTTCATCTTTTTCATAGACTCTCTGGACAGTAACAAAGGAATATCATTATCCACAACAAACACGCTTAAAGTAACTTTCTGACCACATATTGTTACTGGGAGTTCTTTCTGTATCTTAGCTGTAACTGGCATCTCCTTCCCGAAAAGTAAAATTCTTCTCACAAGGGTCACCTTGACCTCTTCTTGTTCAGCTGATGTGAGAGATTCCTCGAAGACTGTCAGCCATTTCTTCCACTAACTGCGGAACTAGCTACCGTATCTAAAAGTGCTCTATTTGTCGAGTCTCCCATGGGGGGGGGTGGGGGTGGAGATACGTGAGGCACTCGTCTTCGTCTTCTAGGTTGGAAATCAGACTCTAAGATTGCAAGCTTCTTCCTCCAAATGTTTGTAGCGTACAGTCTCTCATTATTTGTCTGTTTTCCTTACAAATATGACAACGTAAGGGTCCTGATCGTTGTTCTTGTGCTCTTGTCTGGGTCTAATGGGAGCTTGTTGATACACGTTCCTGAACTCTGTCCTTGAAATGCAGGTCTTTGTCCAAAGGTTCTTTGTCCGAAGGATCTTTGTCAAAAGGTCTTTGACTGTAGGGTCTTTGTCCAAAGGTTCTTGGTCTAAAAGGTCTTTTAGATGAGTAAAAATCCCTGTGCTGTTGATTTCTTTGTTGATAAAAGACTTCCTGGGGATCTTCTTCCTGGTTGCTCTGGTCATCCCCTTCATACTCTACCTCGAACTCAGGCTCTGAGGCTGATGGGTATGACAATTCATCAAAGTGTTCAGATTTGTTGACGTCGTACTGTTGGAAGTACGTGTTTACAGGCTCTTACATCTGTGTTCTGTGACGTGGAAAGAGTGGTAAGTAGTTTATAGTTATAGTTTAGTAGTTTAGTCTAGGAGTTCCCGCTTCCTCTTTCACTTTCATTTATAGTTTCACGTGGATTACCTTTCACTTTACTCACGGTAGTTTTCCCCCAGGGTTTTGTTTTATAGTTATCAGTTCCAGTTTAGTTGAAGTCCTCATCATTCAGAAGTCCCTCATATAGTAAGAAGAACATCATCATCAGAGTATTAGTTTTAATTTAATAGTTGTTTAATCTAATAGTAAAAAGACATTATTTAGTTTAGTATTGAATTGTGTATTAGTTAGAGCAGTGTGAGTAACTGAGTCACACCAATCACCTTTCAATCACTCATTCACTATTTGAGGGTGAGTACATAGAGTAAAAAGGTTACATTTGAAACACCATTTATTTGTATAACCTCTTTATTCATCTAATTTGTATTTATAATAATTGAGTATTATTTGTTATTTAATTAACCCAAGAACAGGGTTCCAACAATACTTACTAAAACGGGGAATTTTCACATGGTGTACAGTACTGTTTACTAGTGATTTTTGTTTATTTGCTCCAAGTTTTTGATGATTATGTTTATGTTTCAGACAACATTGTCAAAAGTTGTAAAATTTTACCCCAATTGTTATTTGACAGTCATGGCTTCAAGGGTGCTTGCATCACGATTAATGTCCAGCGTTAGAGGTGCTCAAAGATCTTTCATGAGAAGGTAAAACCTTCAAATTACACCCTATTGATTACTATCAAGTTGTTTGTACTGTACCATTTTCTGGGGATATTTTATTAATTACTCCCTCATAAATCATTTTCTCTATTATTTCACAGGTTTCACAATGGACCTCCTCGAAATCCTGATGGTGAGAATCCCTGGCCATATGTTCAACAGAAACTGTTCTTTGCATCTGGATTTGGTGTCTGCTCTTTAATGCTTGCTATGGTAACCTATTTTAAATCTGCTGTTGAAGCTACTCAGTGTTCCCCGAAATTCCTTGAGTTCTACAAAATTTAATTTAAAAAGTGGACCGGTTTCTTCAGCATTCTTAAATTGCCATCCTTTTCAGGCATACGCGTCTGATCTATTTAAGCCCAAGTTTGGTGAAATCGATTGGGGTGAGTTCATTTTAACTGCAAATTATATTTTAGATACTACAGTTTTTAAAAACTGTCTCATTGATTCAATGAATGATTTTGTTATTAAAATGAAATTACAAAGTAGATTAACTTTCATAGGTACATCTGCTTTAAGAATTATATTTTTCATCTCAAGCTAGTATTTACTGAACTCTCTATTTTAGACAAGATTAGAGCTGAGCGTAATGCTCTAGTAGATGAAGCAGCGGAACCTGAAGATGGAGATGATGAAGAAGAGGATGAAGAGGATGAAGACGACGAATAATCTCAAAATTCTTCATTCGAATTATAGATGCATTTCAAATTAGGAGTCGTTAGGCTTATTGTGGTATAATTGTTATAACACTAAAGACCATCTTGTATATAATATTTAAAGTAAATACTATTAAAAGTTGCCAGTTTTAATTGTATTATTCCTAACGTTGGATTGATACTGCCTGCTTTCAATTTTCCTTTTCTTGATCAGTTTTTGAAACAGTAATTTATTTATTTCTTTGATTGAGAACGTTCTTTGTTTGAAATGTATTGATTTTGTGCCAACATGGTCAACATTATCTCACCAAGTCTTTGCTAGTTCAAAGACATACCAAACAATTGAAATGGATATTCCACATCGTTCGTTATCATTAAAAATAGGTTACGTATACAGTTTAATAAGTTTATAATATCATCTAGTGGCTAAAACGTTCCTTTTCGAAAATGCAGAACCTCAGTAGCAATGTTATAAATTTAAATTTCCTGATCATGAAATCAGTTCAGTGATAGCTCCTAAAGTTATATCAATGTTTACTGTTTATGTTTTGTTTCTATCATGCAGTGGTCATAGTTTTGTACTGAAAAACCATCTGAATACTTTGTTTCATTATGTCATTTCGATCAGTGTTAAACTGTCATAAATTGCAATTATCTAGGGTAAGGCACGTAATTTTGTCAGGGTACCTAATTTTGTCATTTTGCTATGAAAAACTGCCTCGGCTCGGAATTTCAGCTTGAAAGAAAAGGTTTGTGTATAAAAAGAAAGCTTAGACTTTGCTGAAACTGCTCCTACAAAGTTTAAGTTTCTAGCTCTTTTGCATCTGTGTCAAAAATGAAGGCGAAACTGTTAACCCGAAAAATAAATAAGATCCTTAAAGTTTTCTTAAGGAATTTTCAAAATTTTGATTTATTGCTATTTCAAAAGTAATTGAGCTAGCTTCATGCCATTGCATATTTCAAATGTCTTCTACAGCAGAAGTATACGTACAAATTTTCAAGTCTCTAGCGCAATTATTGTTCAAGTTACAGAGGGTGACAAAATTAGGTTCGATTTTGCAAAAAGTACCTAATTTTGTCAAAAACATTGACCTTTCTCAAATTTCTTGTAAATCACAGATTGTGTTGAAAATGGCCTTATACAACTATTCTGAAGTTTTTTTGCCCATAGGATATGTATAAGGCACTTATAATAGCATTTAAACACTTATAATAGCATATTTTCGCCGAGAAATATACTGTAATTCTGGGTTTTAAAGAGCTATTGGTAAATATAGTTTCGTGAATCAGTAACCAATATTGATTCATGCTTCATAGAAAGTTTTCAAGATGCCAGTGGTTTCAGGGGCATTTGGGGGCTATTTTCTAAGATTAGATACCCAAAAAGTGTCATCTTTTCATCAAGCTACAAAACTATGAAAACATCATATCTTTGGGATTTTTGAGGTCAATGTTGGTAAAAAAGCGCTCGAATGATGCATCCAGGTAGTCTAAAATACCGAGAAACGGTTACTTTTTGCACAATCTTCAAGTGACAAAATTAGGTTCGGGGTGACAAAATTAAGTAAAGTCACCTAATTTTGTCATTTTTTCAAAATAATTTTTTTCAACATCTTCAACCCCAGCAATTTCGATCATTTTTGTGTTAGAACTTGCCTAGACTGTCTACTATAACATGGTGGAGGTTTCATCTAAATCGGAATTTCAGACGAGGTTAAAACCCATGGTTTATATCAGGCAGTCGGAAAATTGCCAAAAAATGACAAAATTATGTGCTTTACCCTAGGTATAATAACCGTAGAAAATTATAATAATTATATAATGATTATTTTTCGTAACGTACGGTAAGGACCCCATTTCCATTTTCCATCTCTTCAGAAAAAAATATTTTCAACATAAAACACATTTCTTCGTCTCTCGTCTTCGTCTCTCGTCGAAAGTCCATACTCTTGTTTAATCCAGCAAATATCTGCACACTATGAAAACTAACCACCTCCCCCGTGTTAGCGAAGGACAATGGACAGGATTTTTGGGGGTTTACCCTCGGTGGGTGACCTTACTGTGAACTGTGTGTACACTGCACTTCTACAGCCCGTCAATGTCGTCAAAATACTTATTCAAGTTAGTATAGAGTTAATGTAGAGTGCACATTTAGTGCACATTTAGTGCAAGTTAAGTGCACATTTAGTGCACATTTAATGCACATTTAGTGCAAGTTAAGTGCACATTTACTGCACATTTAGTGCAAGTTAAGTGCGCTTCTAGTGAAGAGGTCACTCTCCTGAGTATGCTCTATACTTTTCAGAGCACTATTTGATCTAATTCTTTGTTTTTAAGAAACAACGCTTTTTATGTGATACAATACGCTTTCAAATGATATTTAATGATATATTGCTCTTTTATGGTAATTCACAGAATGAATTAAAATAATTATGCAAAATACCTATTCAATAAATCCTATTAGTATTGTCTGTGGATTTGAAGGTCACAAGAGTACAGATATCCACAAAGCCTCACTTTAGTTTACCACAATAATTCGTGACTAACCAACCGACTCAGCTTCAATTTCCACACACAACATTTCCTCTATTGTTTTGTATAATTTAAAACTTTACAATAAAAATCAAAACCTCCCCCCATAATTTGCCGCATAATTTGCACCTAACACCCAAATGGTCCGCATCTAAAGCAGCCCGTTTATAGCCATGGTTAATGTAGACGGTGACATAGTGCGAATGTTACGCTCGGAAGCTGGCAAGAACCCTACCGTCAGAATGGCCGCAGTTTAGCACAAGTTTTGATTTGCAAGCCTTTCCATACTATCTCCATTCTGCTTCAGGTAGCTAAGTAATAAAACAGAAAATATTTTGTTGTACAAGAAAAGTTTTTTTACTAATAAAGCAAAATTTTCATAATTTAATTAAAACTTTCTGTCCGATGAGGAAAGAAAGTTTTTTTGAGGAGAGCCGCTCAGACATGGGCACCGTAGTGTGTAAATTATTTCTTTATCTTTTATACAATATCTTTGTCGCATAGTAGCGGGGTAGTAAATACTGTGTTTCGTTTCGTTTCGTCGTTAAAAAGCTTACCGAATGTCATAAGTTAGGTTCCCCAAATATGAAGAATCCTGCAAAACACTAGCAATATCATGTGAGGTATATGATTAGTATGATTGCGGTGACATACTAAAATACCTTGGTGCTGATAGTCATTTAGAACTTTAGAAGTATTTAAAACCTCATTTAACTTTCTGGGAGGAATCGGGGAAGTCATTAACTTTTTGTTTCCCGATCTGGCTACATTATGAGCCGGAGTACTCCGGCTATAAGAACATTTGTCACCGTTATTCAGCTATATTAAGTTATATGTATAGTTATGTATAGTTAGCTATATGTATTGTTAACAGGTCACAGCTAGTTGCTTGTTATGTGAAGCATTTGAAATATGCTATCAATTTGTACTGTATGTGCACTTGTAATATCATGTCCCTATGATATTAGGAGATAATGGAATATTACACTTATTGAATAAGGGTATATAAATGTACTTGCTCAAATAAGTAAATAAGGAGTTTTTCGAGATAGAGGTAATCAAACTTTTAAATCAGCGTTAAACGAAGCTTGCAATTAAAGGTAGTTTGAATTTGTAATGTATCAGTTTACTATGTTTAAGTAATGTAGTGTTTAGTAGAAGCATCATAAAGTCGGTTATACATTCTTACCGGTTATTAGCAGTAATTAACAGTAATTAACCGGTAATTAGCAGTAATTAACCTGTAATTAGCAATTAATCTGTAATTAACCGATAATTAACCGGTAATCAAGCAGTGGTTAGTGTTCTTTATATAATACCGGTCGATCACAGTTAACGAATTTTCATCAAACTGATTATTCGTGTTCTTATCACTATAACTTAATTAATTAATTAATTACTTAATTGATTAATAACAAAGTAAAATATTCCAGGTTGGTTACGAGCCACTTCCTCCGACGTTCAGGCAACCGAGCATGTTCTTCTTCTCTGGGGTTATTACTATCCTAACAATCTTCAAATACATGAAATATTGGTGAGTTTATTATTTATAAACAATTTTCCACGTTTGCAATTATAAATTAATCATATTAAATAACCTTTCTACATCCAGAAAACACGGCAACTGCGAGGAAATTTGGTACCAATGAGGACAATTTTAGAAAACCCGACCTTTTTTGCAAACAATTTTTAAAGGGAGACATTTGAATGGGAAGAAATTTAATATATGAGATAACGTTATATCTTTCTGCCACTAGTAAATAGTGTAATCCCCTCTAATTAACTAATTAAAAACTAACTCTTTAACTAATTAGCTAATCTCCAGGCAGACAAAGAAGGATCCCGCTAGTCCTCTACCGAGGTCTGACACCCGACTAGGAGGGGTCTTCATTACAAACTCTGTCAGGAGTGAGGTGTTAGCGGCACTTCCAGTTTCTACTAGCAAGTGTCCTCCTGAACAGATTGCTTCTGAGGTTAAACTCATTAACTCATTTAAAGTTCATTAGTTAATTGTTTAATTGATCAGTTCTTATAGTACCTTAATTTCCAAAAATTTGGGCGACAAAAAATTTGAGCGGGCCTCTCGCCCAAATTTTTTGCAGACCAAATTAATTGCTACATCTTTTCCGTCTGCTAAATTTTTTGCTATAACCAAACTTTTGGCATTTGGCCTGTGGACCTGAAATCTATAGAAAGGATGGCTTTTTCTTCATATCCAAGTGAAATAATATTTGAAATTTTAGTTTTCTAATCTGTCCTTCATGGCTTCACCAAGAAAAAGGCTTATATTTTTAAATGAATAGAAATAACTGGAACAGTAACAGCTACTAATAAAACAATGGCTAGAGCGAAGGTACGGATAGCTAGAGATTTAAACAAGATCTGCAAATGGATTATCATCCACCGTAAAGTCTGATCTACAAGCATCAGTTATACCCGACTTCTCCAACGCCTTCCTTATGCTCATCTGGCCTCCCTTTTAAATAACAAAAAAGTTCGTTGATCCAACGAGCGTGTACTTCACGGATCACTGTCAAGCGGGGTATCAATTTTCACACTGTCTGATGAAAACTCCCTCCATTGAGCTGACACACTATGTTTTTCGCGTACCAATCTTCTTACTTATTGCGCATGGAATTCTTAGCCAGTCCATTGATAGATAAGTCCAGGGGCTGTAGATGATGGGTCATATTAGCTGGTTAATTAAAATTAGACTTGACCTTTGGTCCGGTTACACTTTTAAAGTAGTTCGCTACACACAATATGTACACCTTTGCTTTCCCCCAAAGCTAAGCGTATGTGCCGCTTAGTTTGATAGATAATGATGTAAACCTTCTAATTTTCTTTTCAAACCTTCTCGACCATCTGGGTGAGGCGTCATAATGATAATTGTATGTGAAAGGGGTATGATAAGATATGCTGAGTGTAAATAGACTAAACTATTTGATTGAGAGACTAAATATCACTATTGTATATCTATCATTTAGTACTGTGCCATATCACCTGTATTTTGAGTAGTTATGGGAGATCGTAAATTTCATTAATGTGAAACACAACTCAGGACTACACTAACATGCTTAAAATTGAAAGCAAATGACTGGCAATAAATGAATAAGGCAAATATCTAACTGAAATTTTAGTGGAAATCGGTCATTTTTCGAAGAATTTGTGCCCAAATTTTCGGTCGCCCAAATGAGTTCAAATTTTCTGCCCAAATTTTTCGGGCTCAAATAATTGTGCTCAATATAATGGCACACAAATTTTTGGGAACTAAGGTGCTCTTACTAGATTGCGATTAATTATGATTTTTTCTATCTATCATTTAAGAAATGAAAGAAGCACGTCATTATAACATCCCCTCTGCAAGCTGAAGCGTGGACAGCTTTGTTCAGATAAATAAATACAATAAGAAAAAAAGTAAGTTGATACAGCACTTTATCCCAATAAATATTTATCGGGTCAGATTAGTAACCAGTAAAAACTATAACAAACTTTGACAATGTAGGACAGCAGATACTCTACTGTCATGGTATCTACAAAAATGGTTTTTTAACAGTTAAACCTAAACTAGTTAGGAGGCAGTGCGCAGCACAAGCTTAGCAGTGATAACCTCGCATCCTCTGCTAGTTGTTACTAAACGGATGATAGTTTCACTTAATGGGGAGAGGAGATAAGTACAGTACTGTCCCTGGTGCTATTGCTACTATCTTCACGGTGCGTTGAGGAATGCAGTTAATTTGTTATTTAATTAATTAATTATTTAGTTATAAACCGGTTTTACCTCAACTTGGTTGTTGAGTTGAGTATTTTAAAATTTGGAGCAAATTACTTTGCTTGGCAGGGGATTAGTTAAGATTGTAAGGTTTCTCTGCTATCAAAGGGACATCACCGGCACCGTTTGCATTATTATCGTGAAACAGTTTTCAAATCAATATTAATTGGATAATTCACGTTTATAAAGTTATTTAATATTATTCATAATATCTCAGTGAGGAAGTTGTTAGGTTCTACGCGGGTTATTAATCCACATTTATTGGGTGAGGTATCTGGTAAAGCTAATGAGGTTCTCATTCAAGAGGATAGTCGAGAAAATGGATGGTTTTAGGTTGATGCAACGGGTTGGTAATTTCTTGACATTTTTAAGCTAAGAGAAACTTGGATGTTTCTTCATTACATATTTGTTTTATTTTCCTGACAAAAAGCTAGACCCCTAAACCTTATTTGAGGATTTTATAACGATAATAATAAATAAATGTTCAGATAAACAAGAAGTTAGGACTTCCACTGCCCGGCAGGAAGTAAATACCTCCCTGTATACTGCTATTCCTAGAGACACACTCAACCACTTACATGTCAGTTGAAGTTACACACTTCCATCATCCCCTACAGTTCTCGTAGTAGTGAACTTCTATAGAATATGGTAGCATGCTTTTTACAATGATTTTCTCTCGCGCTCTCTGCGCTCGCGGCTCATCTCTAATAGTACAATATAGCAGGCTAATCACAACACCTTAACTGTTAATATTCGCTACATTATAACCCTTCAAACTATAACTTCTGTCAACCACTACAAAAATAATTATGAACCTACCCCATCCATGTACAAAATTACATCAACATAACAAATACAATGAAATTCTAACATTTATTACCCGCTACGACAATCAAACCTATACCAACAATAGAGTACATTTAACTTCCTTCAATCGAGACTTAGTGATGAATGATATGATATTCTGGTACTGAGGAGAGATTGAGAGAAGATTTTCGAAACAAATTATTTGCGAAGTTCCAAAATTATGCACTTCATTCAGTTTCAGACTTTATGGACCATATTTTATATATTATCAAAAGCTAGGAGGAATAACAACGTCTTAAGAGCATTTTTCAAAACATTCTTCAGGATGATAATGATCTCTACTGAGTAGGGTAGTCAGTCAAATTTTTTGGTCACAAAACATAAATGCAGCATCCGTAGTCTGAAATGAGGAGCAGGAGGAAACTTTCTACATTTAAAGTCATCATCTAAGTCTGGACCTTTTGTCTTCGTACTACATAAGATTGATGTTTCCTTGTAAGTATGAGGGGGGCTTTTTTATTAAGCCCTTGAAGACCAGAAGTGATATTTGAACTTGATCTGAGGGAGATTGAGTGAGTGAGGTAAAAAGTGGAGCTTTTTGAGGTAATGCATGATAGGTTACGTATATTTTTTCCGGTAAAGACCAAAAAATAAATCTAGCAGCAATAGTTCTAGTATCTTTTGAAAGCTATGGAGATTCTTGTGTTATACCTTTAATAGACTGAAGTTGCAGTAGTCTATGAAACAGGAATATTGGGAGTGAACTAATCTGAACTTTTAGTTCATGGAAAGCTTTTGAACCGAATTCTGATAAGTCCCTTTGTTCGCAAATAACATTACTTTGGACACAGCATTTATTGGCGTCCAGATCATTGGGATCGAAAAAGGACTCCCAGGTTCTTGGCCTTGACTAACAGGAACAGATTGAGAGTTCCTCCATCATAGGAGAGTAGAGGATTTGTGAATATTGTCTATATCAAAGAAACGCTGTTTTTTCATCATTCAGTTTTAGGAAGTTAACTGTCATCATTGCTTTATATCCAGGAATAGCATTCCTCCCGCTGTTAACATCGGATTAGAACATCGTGAACATTTCACGGAAAGTACACCAGTGATTCCCCTTGCCAACCATCCAAATGTAACGAGAAGAAAGAATCATAATTTTGTGAACCAATTTCCTCAAGATCTCTGGTATACAATTGAACAGTAGTGGTCCCCTTATAACAGGATCCTTGAGGTACACAATCTCCAGATCGCATTCAGAGATGTGGCTTTTTAATGTAACCTGAATGTGCGATTATTAAGGTAACACTGTAACCAGCTGAGTGTCGCACTCTTTTCAACTTTCCATCTAACGCATTCCTCTGAGGTTTCCCAGTAGTTTTAGATTATGGTTTTGGTGTCGAAAACGGCTGTGATAGATCTAAGAGGTAGAAGCACAACATTCGATTGCTATCACTCATCATTTAGATTTCATTATGTATCTTTGTAACTGCAGTTTCACAACTAATGGAATTTTCTCTAGCTGATTGGAATAATGGGGAAAATAGGTTGTTGACATCCAGCCTATTCATTTAAATTTGCAATGAACTACTTTTTCTAGTATTTGGGACAGATGGGTAGATGCTAATCGGTCGCTAGTTTTTCAGCTCATCAACATCTAAGGTAGGTTTTGAGTCAGGCCTAATAGATGCTTCTTTTAGGGCAGTATGGAAAATTTCCGACTCTTATTGATTCATCACGTTGTAATAGATGTATGGGAGAAGCTCGGGTAAAGCAGTCTTGAAGAGCCAGCGCCACATTGGCATCGAGAAGGTAACTTGATTTATTGGGAAGACTCTTAATTAAGTTTCAAGTTCTGATATGAGACTTCCTTAAACTGGGATAAGTCTACACTTTGTTTTCTTTCAAAGAGAGTTTTTGGTACCTTGAACCGTTAAGGGAAGTCTGCGTTTGAATTCCCTTCTCACTATTAGAGTAAATGGTTTTTACTTTTTTGTCAAAGAAAGTCTTGAGTTTTTCACACTTCGATATCTTCACCATTGGCAGTTTGTTGGAGCCATATTCTTTATCTAAAAGTTATTTGTGACTTGTCGGTCCTTTCGAGTTCTCCTTTGCAAGAACTGGCTGGTTTATCTTAGTGCTATCTCTAGCTCGATTGATGGATGATTTCTGCGTCACGCACTTTTCAAAGTGTTGTAGTTATTTAAACTCATCATTCTCTGGATACTTTTTTGGCTTTTCGTTTTGCTTTTCTCCTCTCTCTGACAGCATTTGAATTTTCATCCCTCAAAAATCATGACTTTTCAGCAGGTAAATCGTTTCGTAATAAGTGGGGCATGTGTGTCCAGCATGTTCAGGACCTTTTTATAAAGGTTTCACAGCCTCATCTAAGGCTTGATATTAGCAAGGGTTTTAAGCTCTGAACAAAAACAGCTCTGCCGGAACATATCGATGTCCAATTTTGCATAGCTCTCTGACATCTTTTTCTTCATATGTACGAGCTTATGAAAATCGAATGAGACTGGGATCGATAACTTACTAGATAGTGATCAGAGCTGGTTCCAGTGCTTGTCTCTACCATCATATATCTGTTACAGACAATGAGTCACTTACACAGCCTAGAGTAAATAACAAGTCCAATGTCCCACCAGAGATGTGAGTAGGAGAGTCGACATGCTGAAGGAAGCCTTTGCTCTCACAAAGAGCAATTAAAGTTCTGGGCAACATTATTGTTTAGGTCTTTCAACATGGAAATTAAAGTCACCACAAATAATTGGAGATCCAGTTTTAAGCGAAGTTTGTCCAGGTATCCATCAAGTCATCCATAAACTTAGATATTTTTGTTTCATCATATTTTGTTTTGGCCTGAGTGCGGCGATAAACTACGCATAGCCTGATAACCCTCACCAGCTGTTTTTATTGACACATTCAAGTACTTCAAAAGATGAATATTTAGTAACATCATTGCGTACAGGCGAAATCACTTTGGGGTTGAAGAGAAAAACCAACACCACCTCCCCTACCTCTTCGAGGGGCACTGATAATAACAAACCCAAAATCACGAATTTCGGCAAACTTGCCCGATCATAGATTTAAGCCAAGTTTCCGTGATACAACAGATAGAGATCGAGTTATCCTTAAGCATTTCTAGTTATCTGCCACTAGTTTTGTTGCAAAGAGACCTTGCGTTGAAACAACCAATAGAAAGCTGTATTTCTGTTGTTTAGCACCTAATTTCACATTACGTTTTTTGAAATAAGTCAGTGTTAGCAGCAATACGTTCAGTTTTTAAATGCTGTTATTTCAGTTGACTACAACGATAATGACGGTTAACAAATGCGGGTAGCTGTATCTGATCTCCCTGCTGTACAGGGTACTCAGAGGGATGGTTCGCTTGTATCAAGGGTACGTCAACTTCATATCTCAAACAAAAAGAAATAATTTTTATTTATCACACTGTACCCTATTCAATTTTTTTTGACAAAAAATGTATCGACTTAAAAGAACAAGCTTCTACTAATATACAATAATGAACGCTCAAATTATGTTTTATTGTTATTTTTCAAATAAAATAATATTTTAAATAAAATAATATTTAAAAATAAACCTTCTGCACAGCTCTGTGGAACTCTGGTAACATTAAAAGAGGTAGTAACCTGATGTTCGCACGTAAAGCAGCCGACCAGTCATGGCACACTCCTCCTACACCTGCTGCTGCCTTCGTCGGTTAGTTTACATCACGTGTTAGTTTACATCACTACATCACGTGTTAGTTTGTATCACGTGTTAGTTTACATCACATGTTAGTTTTCATCACGTGATATATCACGTGATGCATCACGTGTCCGTTCAGATGTGACGTTTAACTTAAAACTAGTGTTTTAACTCAAAAGATCCGGCACCTGAAACTGATCGTAAAGTTCACAAGTTAATTGATTTATATTCAATGTTGTGATTTTGGTTAAGTGATACTTTTTAAATGTTTAAAACTCTGCTACTTTTTATCATCTTAGCTAGCTATCTATGTTCATAATTTATGTAATTTTTTTTATAACATGTAATTTTATTACATAAAATTCCCATTTAAAATTACGATCGTATGTTTAAACAGGTGATATCACAACATAATATCTAGCTTACCTTTAATTATCTGGCAAAATTCACTCTTTCTTCAGGTAGACAGTGTCCGAGCATATTGCATGAACCTTTGTTCCCTACACCAGTGCCCTTAAATCATAACGCAAATCTTCGTGAGAGCTTCACATAAACGCCCCTGCACTATTATTTTTTATGTCGATCATTTTGGCACTAAATGGAACTTCGTATTATCGTTTAAAACTGATTATTCAGTGATTGAATTTTCAGATTCTCCTCCAAAATCGTTTGTGAACAACGAACATTCAACTTGTAACCTTGTCAAGGTATGCACGTGCACAAAGATGCTGTGCTGCGCCCGGCATGTGCTGCACGTGCTGTGCGCGGCTCTGCTCGTGCTGGTATTTAATTGCACGTGCTGTGCCCCAGCTCTGAAAACTCTCCATGAACAGAGCCGCGCACAGCACGTGTGCGGCTAGCCCCTGCACGTGCGCTCAGCATCAGTGCCCTATTCGTTGATCCAGGCCTAGGGTATGTCAGGGTTTTTTTGTTTAAATGTGAATTGGTTAAGTTTAATGTCCAACACTTACGGACAAAAATGGGATTGCAGATTCGCACTTAAATTGTATCATTTCAAAAAGCAAAAACTTGGTTCTTTGTACATATACTTGTTTTGACGTATAAAATGTACTAATTGAACGTATAATAATGCAATATATAATGTCTGCTAGTCCGCTCACGCTTTGGATTGTACAGATCTACATTATATTATAACATTCGGATTGTATGTTAGTTGTAGTATTTTTAATGAGAAGAATTACCTTGAATAGTTTAACTTTACGTATTTCTACACAGAAGTTCTTGCTGTTAACTACATGTTGTAAACTGTATTGTGTCTGTTTACATCCGTGATATCGATCATTATTGTAATAACTTGTTAACATGTACCATGTCGTGATTGCATTGCCATTGTTGTGTAATTTGCTCTTGATGCACTTTTTCAGCATTCTTGTTTTCCACTTTAAAGATACCTCTTTTGATGTACATCTTGCATGTTTTTGCTTTTAGATAAAGATGATTGAATTTATAAATTACCCACTCATATGCATGGGTTTTTTGTACCAATTTAAAATAACAATTTATTAACTTTGCGAAAATTTAGAATTGCATCCGTTGCATCGATAATTGCTAAATTTTTTGTTGGAATATTTTTTATTGCAAAATTTCCTCGGTGTATCAAGAATTTAACTTTGAAAACTGAAGCAATGTATTGAGTTAGAACAGTTTCAGAAGCGCCACCGAACACTGCAGAAGCTTTAAAGATTGCTGAAGAGCTTTTGCTCCCTCTTGATGCGCTGCCATCACTGAAGCGCCATCGAACACTGCAGAAGCATGGAAGATTGCTGATGCACATTTACTCACTATCAAAGCGCCTGCCATCGCTGAAGTTCCAACAGTTGATGCAGCATCTGTGATCCCTGTTGAAGCTTCCCCGATGACTGCAGTAGCTTGGGCGATCGCTGATGCACATGTGAAGGCTACTGACACCTTGGTCATCGCTGACGTTCCTGCTGTAGCTGTGGAGATGAATTCTACTCTGACAACTCTAAGTGAATAAAGCAACCTATTGTCACTTGTTCTGAGTGATATCCTGAGTGATAAATCCTGAAATTGCTTTTATTTATTTGTTGTGATTGACTATAGTTTTCTTGTTCTTCTTTTCGAAAATATTGGATGATGTCTTTGTGTTTATTGCTGTGCAAATTTGATTCTTATTCTATTAATTCTGAGCGACAGTTTTCAGGTCAAATCTAAAGATTGTTGTAGATGTGCATGCCCAAGCAGGAACTGTAGATCATTATTTCATTTGCTCAGTTTATTCAAGCCTTTTGATTGGTTTTGTATTAAGATTTTGTCCTTATAATTTGCGTTTCCTTAAACTAAATCATGAGCATCTCAGCTTCAGGAGATGGCTATTTAAGAATGAAGCAATGTAATCAGATACACAAACCAACTTTTCAGATGCCGTTGTCGATGCAGCGAACCAGTTATCGATGCAGTTGTCGATGCTGCCCTGCAGTTGTCGATGCAGTTGTTTGAAGCAGCCCCTGCAGTTGTTGATGCAGTTGTCGAAGCAGCTCTGCCGTTGTCGATGCAGTCCATGCAATTGTTGATGCAGCCGAAACCAGTTATCGATGCAGTTGTTGATGCTGCCCTGCAGTTGTCGATGCAGTTGTCGAACAGCTCCTGCAGTTGTCGACGCAGTTGTCGAAACAGCCCCTGCAGTTATCGATGCAGTTGTTGATGTTGTTTGTCAGACGGGACATGTGGCTACAACGCAGTGGCCTCAGAGTAGAATCTCTCCCTTTCTCATATCACATGTGCCATATGTCCATTGTCCAGGTATAAATAGGTTGTCAATCACGTGGTATTATCGTGCTGGATTGGTTAAGGATTGACATATTTTGTGGAAGCGGCCGGTATGTCTGGTATGTCTGGATTATTGTGGGTAGGGTAGGTATGGCTGGATGATATGAATAAGGAACCACTTAAAAGTCTCGATAAGAAATCCTATTGACTTAGAAGCATAGTATTAAGTCGTGAGCTTATAATATGGCACACTTGAAGTATAGTCTTAAGTCCGTGAGATTATAATATGGCTGCTAGTTATCAAATTCAATTTGATATTAATTGCGGAGGAGTCGCTTTTTGCCCGCTGGCTGATGGCTAGCGTGAAGCAGTTAAGTGCTAATTGCAAGTGCCATCTCTTCATGAAGTTTATTTACATTTAGAGATCTTACCAACTTTAACATACGATATTCCGTCCTACACCTAAACTGCTCAATTAAGTAATTATACTGTCCGTAATTAAACACCTTCATTAAAAACTATCATTATCTCTAAATACAATTATAAAAATGTTCTTCATTTAATATTATCTTGAAATTCCGGTTTCAAAAAATCATTCAGATTCATTATCATACTAACTATGCCCTATTATATTAATAAACAATAAATCTCATACATATAAACCCTATACGATCACCAAACACCATTCTAATTGAGACCTCTCACCTTAACCTAAATCATTATCATTCTACATAATAAACAGTATATCACACTTATCCAAGCCCCTTAACCCCACAAATACTTTAATATCACAACAAAAAAACCCATTAAATAATTCTAACATAAATTAAATTTAAACCCCCCATCCAACTTTCCCACTAATACACCCTATTACCCCCTACACCCATAAAACCCATAATAACTACCAAACCCACATCCTAAACTTATACCCCAACCTACTATCATAAATTACCACCATCAAACAAAAAACCCCTCAAACCCAACTACCCCATCCCTAAACATTTATTTCCCACACCACACATTATCCTAATACACACCAACCGCACCCAATCATACCCACACCCCATGACCCCCCCCACCTCCATTCCTCAACAACATTCCCCAACCCCAATCTACCCTCACAACCCTAACTACAACTATCCCCCCACCACCAACAACATAAAAAACTGCTCTCTCTCTCTCTACTCTCTTTAATTCTTAAAATCATTTATCCCCTTAATAAATATAATTAAAACACCTTAAAACCACTAAAAAACCAACATAAATAAACATACATATAATAACAAATAATTCTACACTAAAAAAACACTCACACAAACCACAATTATACACACCCCACCTAACACTCCACAAACTTTAATAACACACCACAAAAACCCATAACTCACAAAACTTATCCTATATGAAAACAAAAAACAAACCCCCCAAATATCTTACATAATCAGAATACCCTATAAAACCCCTATCCTACATAATCAAAACCCCTGTAGATAGTAGATATAGAGTATAGATGAGTATAACATGTAAAATTTTATCATCCACACAAATCCACCACACAATTAACTAAACCTGTGACTTGTATATAAATTTCCCTATAAATTATCAAAATCAGAAAACAGCCAAGACACCACACAACAGCCCATAATAATACCCCATTATAATACTCATGTATATGAGATGAGATATAGAACTCATCTAGCGCAGATCTGCGCTCTAGCTCTCTACTCGATCGCGCGATATAGATGCACCCGTATTATGTCCAGACAACATTCCTTATTAATTCACCCAAATATCACCTAATCCAACCTACCCACATCAACTATATACAACCATCCACTCTATTCACCACCCTTAACTACTCTCACACCAAAAAATTACACTTACTAATTACACACCTAATATCAAACCTCCATAAAGCATCCCATCATAATATCCTACAACCTAACCATACTCTCTACATTTCTCAATCACTCCACTATAACCTTCTACAAATCTTATTACATTATTCTCATAAACTAGAGAGAAATCTTCAACAAAAAACTCTCTCTCTCGCTACTCTCTCTATTCACTGCGCTCCCCAATCGATCTTCAAATTAAGCTAAACTATAATTACTCGTTCATTATCAAAAATATTAAATTTCAACTTCTAAATTGCTAACGTCCTATTTTTCGCATAATCCTTATAATTACGCGCTTATTCTTTCTAAAGATATTGCCTATAACCAGGAAATCGCTTACTCTCACATTTTCTTTATCATATCTTAAATTAATCGCTTATCATCTAAAGATATGACCCTATAACAAGCTAATGAGTAGCTCAATTTTTGCGCAGAATCTTATAATTAAGCGCATATCTTCTAAAGATATGAAAATCTAATGAGAGAGAGAGAGAGGAGAGAAGCTCAGTTTTGCGCGAATCGTTATTAAGCGACATTATTTTCATAAAGAATGAAATATAACAGGAAATGCGTAGCTCATTTTTTAAGCAGAATCGTTTCATTAAGCGCTTATTTTCTAAAGATATGAAATATAACAGGATAATGAGTAGCTCATTTTTTGAGCAGAATCGTTAATTAAGCGCGTATTTTCTAAAGATATGCAAATATAACAGTGATAATGAGTAGCTCATTTTTTAAGCAGAATCGTTAATTAAGCGCTTATTTCTAAAGATATGAAATATAACAGGATAATGAGTAGCTCATTTTTTGAGCAGAATCGTTAATTAAGCGCTTATCTTCTAAAGATATGAAATATAACAGGATAATGAGTAGCTCATTTTTAGAGCAGAATTGTTAATTAAGCGCTTATCTTCTAAAGATATGAAATATAACAAGGGATAAGGAGTAGCTCATTTTTTAAGCAGAATCGTTAATTAAGCGCTTATTTCTAAGTATGAAATATAACAGGATAATGAGTAGCTCATTTTTTGAGCAGAATCGTTAATTAAGCGCTTATTTTCTAAAGATATGAAATATAACAGGATAATGAGTAGCTCATTTTTTAGCAGAATCGTTAATTAAGCGCTTATTTTCTAAAGATATGAAATATAACAGGATAATGAGTAGCTCATTTTTTGAGCAGAATCGTTAATTAAGCGCTTATCTTCTAAAGATATGAAATATAACAGGATAATGAGTAGCTCATTTTTTGAGCAGAATTGTTAATTAAGCGCTTATCTTCTAAAGATATGAAATATAACAGGATAATGAGTAGCTCATTTTTTGAGCAGAATTGTTAATTAAGCGCTTATCTTCTAAAGATATGAAATATAACAGGATAATGAGTAGCTCATTTTTTGAGAGAATCGTTAATTAAGCGCTTATCTTCTAAAGATATGAAATATAACAGGATAATGAGTAGCTCATTTTTTGAGAAGAATTGTTAATTAAGCGCTTATCTTCTAAAGATATGAAATATAACAGGATAATGAGTAGCTCATTTTTTGAGAAGAATTGTTAATTAAGCGCTTATCTTCTAAAGATATGAAATATAACAGGATAATGAGTAGCTCATTTTTTGAGAAGAATCGTTAATTAAGCGCTTATCTTCTAAAGATATGAAATATAACAGGATAATGAGTAGCTCATTTTTTAAGCAGAATCGTTAATTAAGCGCTTATCTTCTAAAGATATGAAATATAACAGGATAATGAGTAGCTCATTTTTTGAGAAGAATCGTTAATTAAGCGCTTATCTTCTAAAGATATGAAATATAACAGGATAATGAGTAGCTCATTTTTTTAGCAGAATCGTTAATTAAGCGCTTATCTTCTAAAGATATGAAATATAACAGGATAATGAGTAGCTCATTTTTTGAGCAGAATCGTTAATTAAGCGCTCATTTTCTAAAGATATGAAATATAACAGGATAATGAGTAGCTCATTTTTTGAGCAGAATCGTTAATTAAGCGCTTATCTTCTAAAGATATGAAATATAACAGGATAATGAGTAGCTCATTTTTTAAGCAGAATCGTTAATTAAGCGCT